TGACATGGTTCTGTTGCTGTTTCTGTTTTCCTGCACCTCTGTTTTCCATGTCACCATCCACAGCTGATCCTTATTCTAATCACCCCAGGTGCTCCTCACTGTCTCATTAGTGTCAGTATTTAGACTGTGTGTGTTTTCACTCCTTTGGTATCCGGGCTTTATCCTTCCACGGTGTTATGGTCTGTGTCTCCTCCACCTACCATATTATATTTGAAGTAAGTTTTGCTGCCCCATCAGCATTTTGTTTTGTTCAATAAATTATTAGTTATTTTTCACTATCGAGTCCTCCTGTTTTTCCTGCACGTGGGTTCAAACCATTAAACTGCAGATCATGACAGTCGGACTTCTCCCTTGTGTCATTTACTATAATTAATTAACTCACTTTAGCAATCTTTTTTATGGTTAACTACTTGTATAAACTAACAACAAACCACACACAAAAAAAGACCCCACACACCCAGCACACACACTTTTTGCCCCACTCCCCTCAGGAAGGAGGTTGAGGAGCATTAAGTGTAGAACCACTAGACTGAGGAACAGCTTCTACCCGTAGGCTGTTAGACTCATGAATCTTTAACCAGGATAATCACTGTGGAAAAAAATCACATCATGCTGCTGATCTGTTTCATGCTGCTGTGTTCATTCGTACTCATCTGCTCACCCAGACTCATGTTCGTGCTGCTGTTTGGCATATTGTTTTTGTGCTACTAGTGCTTAGTGTATTTTTAGTTTAACATTTTTCTTGGTTCAGATCATAGATCTTATTACTGTTTTTCTTTGACATTTTATACTTTTTTTTAGATGTAACGGAGACCCTGTGTACATAATTTTGTTCCACCACATGTACCACATGTGGTGCGTATGACAAGTAAAGAAATTTTGACCTTTGACTTTGACATGTTACATCTTACAAAAATGTAATACATGTAACATAATACATACATGTTACATCTTACATAAGTAATATATTACATCTAAAAAACTTAAATCTGGTCCTCTGGACATTAAAAAAACTAAACAAAGCAAAACAACAAAAAATGTATAAACGTTTCGTCTTTCATCTGAAAGACTTCCTCAGTCTGAGGAGCTGTATTCAGCTCAGTCTCTTAAATAGCACCTTCTCAGAGGGGATCAACCAGTTTTGCTACTGACGACCAAAACCAGCTGATCACATGATCAAGAAGGACCATCAGCCTAACAATGGATCATTAGCACACTGATGGCTGTTTACTGTTCACAGAGGGCTGAGTGATACTAGCAATCACAGCATTGTAAGAGGGGGACAGTTGAACATGGAGGCCTCCACCCCTGTTTAATGATGGACGATTTCTTTTCACAAAGATGGCCTCCTTTACTCCTCTCTCAAACCATCATTCCTCTCTATCCAGGATGTGAACATCTTCATCCCTGAAAGAGTGACCGCTGGCCTGGAGATGAGTGTAGACCGCAGAGTCCTGGCCTGATGTTGATCTTCTGTGCTGGGCCATCCTTTTGGCCAGTGGCTGTTTAGTTTCCCTGATGTAAGACTGATCACAGCCCTCCTGACACTGTACAGCATACACAATATTACTCAGTTTATGCCAGGGGACTGGATCTTTGGGATGAACCAGTCTTTGCCGTAATGTATTTTGGGGTTTAAAAGCCACTGGGATGTTGTGTTTAGAACATAAACGTCTCAGTTTCTCTGATACTCCGTCAACATACGGAATGACCACTGGTCTGGGTTCCTCCTTTTCACCTGTTGGCTGACTGGAGTCCTGTTTGGGTTTCTTCTCTGCTTTCAGGAAGGCCCAGTTAGGATATCCACATTGCTCTAGAGCTTGTCTTGTGTGGGATTTTTCCTTCTGCCTGGCTCCTAAGTTAGTGGGGACGCTGTCTGCTCTGTGGTACAGAGTCCTGATGACTCCTAGCTTGTGCTCCAAAGGGTGATGGGAGTCAAACTGCAAATACTGGTCTGTGTGGGTGGGTTTGTGGTACACCTCGGTTCACAAATGTCCTCTATCAGAGACTGAGATCTCACAGTCCAAGAAAGCCAATCTGCCATTTTTTTTACATCTTCTCGTGTGAACTTGATGTATTTATCCACAGAGTTGATGTGGTCAGTAAAATGTTGGACTTCCTGAGATTTAATTTTAACCCAGGTGTCGTCAACATACCTGAACCAATGACTTGGTGGTGTCCCTGAAAAGGACGTCAAGGCTCTCTTTTCTACCTCTTCCATATACAGGTTGGCAACAATAGGAGAAACTGGAGACCCCATAGCACACCCATGTTTCTGCCTATAATATTGCTCCCCATATGTGAAGTAGGTTGACTGCTGGTACAGTTTCAAGAGTTGACACAGTTGTTCTGTGGAAAGCGTGTTGTTCTGTGG